GACTACACAACTGTTAGGATTTCTTTCTCAGGTTCCACAAAGCACCACATTGGTGTTTGGATTGGCAGGACTTTAAATTTGACAGATTGGAATAACTACTAATACCACTGTATTAAGGCATCTCATCTTTAAGTAAAGGCATCATTATTTTGTCCGTTAAAAAAATTTTTATAATTCTTCCCCAAGAACACCTTATGTATCTTCCATTATATGTATTCTTATTGAAAATTTAGGGATTTTGTTGCAATTATAAATCGATTTTTTCACTTTAATTATGCTTTCTAATTTCTTGCTGCTATTGTACAGCTATTCTGTTTTTGTATATTGATCTTATATCCAACAGCCTTGTTGAAATTTGCCTGATGTTATGATTTGTAGAATCCTTTCCTTCCTCCCTTCATTCCTTCCTTCCTTTCTTTCTTTCCTTCCTTCTTTCTTTCTTTCTTTCCTTCTTTCTCTCTCTCTCTTTTTAAAGGCTTTTGCCATAGGGCATATGTGTAAATCAACCCCTGGGGAGGAGAGGTGTGTGGTCACACTGCAATCCCTTTTCCTCCATTTCTCCCTCTGGGTTGTATACACACACACACACACACACACACACACACACACACACACAACATGAATTTCAAGCCACCAGGTCTGGGGCTTGAACTGTAGTTGGTGGTGTGGGAGTTCAATGCCTTAATCATCACACCATCTGCTGGTCTCTCTCTTGAAATTTTTAATGTAGACAATCTAATTGTTCATAAAAGAAGAAAATTCTGTCCTCCATTTCAATTATTATGCTTATTTCTCTTGTAGGATCTACAGTACATCTTTAAATAGAAATACTGATAAAAGACTTCTGTCACTGGTTGAGAATAATTCTGGGGAAAATTTTCATGAGCTTAGTTTTGATTCTCATTTATTGTGTTCTTCTCTTAGTAATGATGCCCTTTGTTCAAGTATGTGGGATTTTCCTGGCATAGTAGCAATCATAGAAATTCTACTCCAGGGAAATGAGAAGCTTGGGCAGTTGGCTCAATCTTAGTTTGAGAGTGCCCTCTTCTGTTAGAACAGTGAAGTAAAAGTTTATTTAATTAATGACACATTTCTTTTTTCTTTTTCTTTTTTTTTTTTTTTTTTTTTTTTTTTTTTTTTTTTTTTTTTTTTGGGGGTG